TGGTAACTGATGTGTTTGGTTCCCTGTTTACAATCTTGTAAGCTTATTTTACTTAAAAAAAAAAAAAAAGAAAGAAAACAAACAAATTGCCGTTGAGTCGATTTGACTCATAGTGACCCCTCCTTCAGTTTCCGAGGCGCTATCTCTATGGAAGTAGATTGCCCGATCTTCCTTCTGAGGAGTGGCTAGTGGGTTTGAACCTCTAGCCTTCTTGTTAGCAGTCAAATGCTTGGGTTGGTTTCTGGGTTATGTTATCATGTGTGTTAATGGTTGGTTGTTGTTTGTTCTCTGTCCAAAGGACTGCCTTTTGCATCTCTTGTAAGGTTGGTCTGGTTTTAACAAATCCTTTAATTTCTGCTTACCTGGAAATGTCCTAATTTCACCATCATATTTGAGGGACAGTTTTGCTGGGTACAAAATTCTTGGTTGGAAATTTTTTTCTTTCAGAATTTTATATACATCATTCTGTTGCCTTCTCACCTGCATGGTTTCTGCTGAGAAACCAGGGCTTAGCCTTGTTGATTGCCCTTTGTAGGTAATTGTTTGTTTTTCCCATGCTGCTTTCAGGATTCTTCCTTTGGTTTTGGTGAGTTTGATGATGCTGTGTCTTGGTGATTTTGTTTTGGGGTCTATCCTGTTTGGGGTTTGCTGAACTTCTTAAATGGATATATTCTCATGTTTCATCACATTAGGGAAATTCTCTTCCAACAAATTTTCAACAGTTTTCTCTGTGGTTTTATTTGTGTCTTCCTGTTCTGGAATTCTGACTACACATAGATTATCCCTCTTGATGGTATCCCACATGATCCTTAAGCTTTCTTCATTTGTCTGATTGATCCCTTACCAAAGTAGTAGTGAGGTATTTGTCTTCAATCTCACTAATTCTATCTTCCATTGATTCTGTTCTACTCCTTTGTTCATTTAATGTGTCCTCTGTTTCCAAGATTTTAATATTAATCTTCTGGATTTCTGTGTGTAGATTTTGTATCATTGATAATTTTTCATTTACTTTGTCATTTTCTTCTTGTGTTGTCTTCTCAAATTGTACTAGGGTTTTGTCTGTTCTCCTTAATTTTGTCAGTGTTTTTCTTGATCTGTCTCTCGGTCTGTTGAAGGTACCGAATTCCTTATCAGGGAGTTCAATGCTGTGTCATTCTCTGGGATATATTCTGGGTCTGTATCCTGGTCTCTTGTTTCTTCTACTTTATCTTCTTTGTGTGGACTGTGATGGTGTGTTGTCTCTGAGACATTATAACACCATTGTAGTTATATTTAATTGGTGATTGTATGTTGGTGTGATTTGCCCAAGATTTTTTTTTCTTTGTTTTGTTTTGATGTATCTGAGTAAGCAGGGTACTGTGCTCCTCTATTAGCTAGTTGTCAGCACTTAGGCACTCACCTCCTGTTCTTGGTAGGTGTGATAGAGTATGAGAGTGTGTACCCAGATCTCTGTTAGCTGTTTGTAAAGAGCAGTTAAAGGTGAGCTGGGCTCGTAGTGGCTGTTGTCTGTCGGTGGCTAGTCGGTGCAGAAGCAAGTGGTGGCCCTCAGTAAGTGGGGCTGGAGGAGGTGTGGGTGTCATTGGGCCATATGTGCACTCAGTTAGACAAAAACAACAATAAAAAAAACACCAAAAAAGTAAAAACAAGGGGACAAAAAACACATTTGCATAAACACACAGTAACAATTGCTAAGAAAAGAAAAAAATACAATTAATGAGAAGAAATATTTAAAGAAATACTTCAAAAAGACAGAAAACTCGGACAACAAATATGAACCCTCTTGAACATACAGTACTGCGTTGTCAGTGAAAGCAAACATAGGTATATGGGTGGATAGTTGGGTGGACAGGCTAAACGATTAGGTATGTCTATGGAATAGGGAGGGTATCCAAGAACATATATAGGATTGGCAAACAATGGTCCTATAAGTTTATGTGAATGATCAGAATTCCCAGGTATATAGTAGAGCTGACAAGGGGCAAAGTTGTGGTCACTGTTTAGTCACAGCCAGCTACCCAGAGGGACCGAGTAGTTGATCCTG